TCTCTCAGTAGGCCTGCCATTTTGAAGGTTTTTCTTCCTCCCAATAGGTGCCTTCAGTACACTGTCCTTATGGGAAAATCCCATGATGAAGTTGGAACAGTCATGTGATCCGATTTCATCCCCAGGGAGACAGCAGGTGACAATTCTTGGAACCTGTAAATATTTCCTTATAAGGAAAAGGACTATTTTTAAATTTGATTAAGTTAAGAATTTTGAGATGAGGAGATTATGTGTGTGGGTCCTAAATCAAATCACTCGAGGAGAGAGTGCAAGATTTGACACAGAGGAATAGAAACAGAAATGGGAGAAGGTGATGTGATAGTAGAGACAAAGCGATGGCCATGCGCCCATGAAGAGGGACAAGGAATGGCCTTTTCCCTACATCCTTCACCATCTTGCAGAACTCTTGATTTTGGACTATTGAAACTGACACTGAAATCTGGTTTCCTGAACTGAGAGAGAAGGAATTTCTCTTGTTTGAAACTAGCAGAGTTGTGGTGATAACGTTGCGGTAGTTCTAGGAAACTAACTCAGTGACACTGTTCACGTTTTTAATAATCTGTTCAACTTTCATTCAACTCACTTGAGTCTCTGTTGTGTGACAGATGACTTCATTAATAGCTAATGTCTTTGTGTGAAAAATTCCCCAGAACATGGAATGGTTAAAATGCTAGGGTTTCCAAGCCTTTCTCTACATGGATGTCTATTACCTGACAATTACAGAGAATATGGACAGATTAAAAAATAATTAAATGAAGCAGATATTAATTTATGTATAAAAGGTTGTCATTGGTAAACTAAAATCTGCCTAAAAAAACCTTATAAGATGTTATATATTTGTTATAATGACAAAATCTCAACATTTTACAGTAAGGAAATTTTTTTTCTTTACAGGAAGACTGTTGGAGCTATCTTGTCTGGAAGGGTGTCTAGAACCTAATATTACCTATTCACTTTCATCCTTAAATTATTCTTTTGTGACTTTCCTGCAACCAGTGAAGGACACTCAGTCTATTATGGGACTTTTTCTACATCGCTCCAGTTTCCAAAACTTCACCAGGATTTGTCAAGAAATCCTAAATGAATTTAAAATGTGCTCCTTGTGTTTGGTTTGTGAATCCAAAGGAAAGGTAGATTTCATTTCTCAAGAACAAACATCAAAAGGTAAATACAGAATGAAATTGAGAATAAAATGTACTGGCTGCAAATTAACTTACTCTGTTGAAAAAGCAGAATACACTCAGTTTTAAAATCCAGTGGCATCAGAATGCTGAGCAGCATGGCTCTGGATGAGTGACTTGCAGAATTTGCAACTGCGCTCTTTTTTTGGGGGGTGGGGGGAGGTTAAGTTGATTTATTGAAAACAAAGTGTTTGGAAGATACACCAAAATGCTGCTGTAATTCAGACCCTTTGGATGGGTGAAAGATCATTTGGCCTTCTAGCTTCAAAGGTAGTCAGTGCTTAAAAAAAACAATTTTAAGGAAACCTACAATTTCTGATACTAAAATCAAATGCTGATGCTTCATAGAGTTGTTTAACCCTTGACCCTTGATACCTACTCCTGCCTGACATCTCCCAATTTCAGTTGTACTTTTACTTGTCTGACTCTCCAATGAGCCTCTTGAGGTCAAGGCCCTTGTTTCTGTTCACTACCAGATCTCTAGATTTTAGCATAATGCCTGATATAATACATAGTAGGCACTTAATAAATACTTGTGGGATGAATACGTGAACAAAGAAAAGAGCAACAGTCTGTGCTGCCTAACCAAACCTTGTATTTCTATTATTTAATCAAATTAAATCAAATTGGATAATTGAAAAGTTGAACAATTCATTCCCAGTCATGAGTGTTGGACAACAGTGTTCTAGAACTCAGTCCTTTTTCATAGCTGGAACTTTCTAGCCGTTGAGTAGGTAGGAATTTTCATTTCCCCCTTGGCTTAGCCCTTGCAGCCACTGTGCTCTCTGTTTCTAATAGTTTTAGTACCTCCCATGAGTGAGATCACACAGCACTATATTTGTTCTATGGCTGGCTTATTTCACATAGCATAATGGCATCTGCGTTCCTCCATTTGTCACAGAGTCACAAGTATCAGGATTTCCTCCTTTACTAAGACTAACGTTTTAGTGTGTGTGTGTGTGTGTGTGTGTGTGTGCGCACAACACTTTTTCTCTGTTTACTCATCTGTCAGTGAACATTTATTTTCCATATCTTAGTTATGTAGAGGATGCACATTGAATATGACAGGGCAAACATCTTTTTGAGATCATGGGTTCAATTCTTCTATGTACCAGGAAGTTGGGTGGTTAGAGCATAAGGTAGTTCTTTTTTTTTAAGGAACTTATGTACTGTCTTACTTGATGACTGGATCATTTTACATTTTTTTTTTTTACATTGCCACCATCAGTGCACAGAGACTCTAATTTCTCCACACTCAATAGTACTTGTTAGCCATTTATTTTTTGGAATAACCCTACCGACAAATGTGAGGTGATAGCTAATTGTGGCATTGATAACCATTTTGTTATTTAGTGACATTGAACCACTTTCACATATTCAGTGGCCACTTGTCTATCTTCTTTGAAGAAATTTCTATCAAATTAGAGTCTCTGTGTACTGATGGTGGCAATGTAAAAAAAAATGCAAAATGATCCAGTCATAAAAATTTCTATCTATATAATGTCTTTACGCCTATGCTCAAATGATCCTCCTGCCTCAGCTATAGGCCCTGGCCTCTGTGCTTGGCTTGTGTTCATTTTATTTTGTTTTAGGCACCAGGAATTGAATTCAAGACTTCATGCTTGCCAGGCAGGAAATGTGACCCTGAGTTACATCTCTGGCCCTCTTTTGCCGGTTTTAAAATCAGGCAATTTTTTTTCCCTGTTGAGGATACAGGAATTTCTTATATATTATGGGTACTGTATTTACTTTCTGTGAGATAACAACTACAAGGTTTGCAGCTGCTTTCTCTGATTCTGGGATTGCCTTTTCACTCTGCTCAGTATTTTCTTGATGCCATCTTTCCACTTGGTCTTGTTTGAGGCTTCCTCACAGCAAGGTGACGGTAAATTGTTGGACTCTACACCATGACTCAAGGCTCTGGGTTAGTGTTCCAAAGATCAAGGCAGAAATTGCTTCCCTGAGCACAGGGTCCTGAGTTCAAACCCTGGTACTGCAAAAATAAAATAAAATAAAAAGAAATTGCTTCCCCTTTTCTGGTTTAGACCTTCAGGGTCTCTTCCTCTGCATTTAGTTGGTTATAAGCAAGTCACACACTACCCCAGACTCCAAGGGAGAAAGTTAAACTATATTCACAGGGACATGGCAAAGTTTTAGGATAACATGTATGTACTAAATTGAATTGTGTCATCCTCTCAAAATTTACGTGTTGAAGTCCCAACCCCCAATACTCCAGAATGTGAAATTATTTGGAAATAAGACCATGGTTGACATAATTTTCTTAAGATGGGTCATTAGGGTGGGCCCTAATTCTATCTGAATGATGTTCTTGTAAGCAGCAATTTTGAGACTTGCACCTGAGGAGAACAATATGTGAAAATGGAGGCAGAGATCAGGTCTCTGAGAATGCTTTGGAAAATACAGTCTTTTCTACAAGTCACCAGAGAAATGTCTGGGGGCAGGTGATATAGCTTAGCAGCACAAGCGCCTACCTGGCAAGCACAAGGTCCTAATGTATATGTTTTCTTTGAGAGGTTCTGATGTCATTTTCAACCTTGCATTTACCTGGTTTTCATGATCTTAGAAAACTACAATCACTAGATAGGTATTCGCAATGTAGGTAACTTTTTGTTTTCTTGTATCAGAAGGAGGGGATTTAGTTTTGAAATTATGTGTTACTGTTTTGCAAATAATGTTCCCTTCATCTCTTTCTAGCTCTTATCATGAGAAGATCAATGGACATGAAAGCAAAAAAATTCTTTTCACCTTGTCAACATTTTAATTTCTCTGTAACTCCTGAGGTTGGCCGGCTGGAGGAGTCCAACACAACCTGCAGCCTCAGAGCACACACTAGAAAATCAGCAGTTGAGGAGGAAGAGCCAACAGAGGAAAATTCTCTCAATCACACTTGTAGAATCAGAGAGTACTCAAGTAACTGTACTCATCTTTCCTTGCACCTAGAAATGGATGTAAAAAGTAAGTTTTAAAGGGAACTAGAGGGCCGGGGAGATGGCTCAGTGGAATAAGCACTTGCCTGGCAAGAGCAAGGGCCTGAGTTCAATCCCTGATTCCACCTAAATAAATAAATAAATAAATAAATAAATAAATAAATAAATAAATGGAACTAGAGGGAAAAAGAGAAATCAGATATAGACACATAAAATTAAGTAAGGGAGCTTACCTTCTTTGAAAGTCGAATAGTTGAAGACATTCTTTAATGAAATGATATACTCTGAAATAATGTTAGGTTTTTTATTGTTTATTTTTTCTTTTAAAAATATGATTAGGCAGAGGAAACATCTATGCATTAGGATTTGAGGGGCACGAGAAGTGCCCCAGAGCAACTTCCACCCAGCCCAAGAGCTGTACTTAAAGTAAAAACATCACACTTGGGTACATAAGGATCAGATTCCTTTTAAAATGTACATTGTGATGCATTGTCAAATTTTTATTTGAGTTCATTTACCATATTCTGTTGTACAGCTGAGAATCAGGCTTAGATGAAGTGGACCTTTGGATATAATGCTGCAAGGATAGGGTGAGTTGGATTTTAGGTACCTTGGGTCACTAAATGACTGAAGAAAAGTAGAAGGGCAAAAGATGGGTCTTACGTATGCCTTACTACACCCTTCTGCTTAAGGGTGATTGACTTCCTACTCATTCTGAATGACCACAGCTATTACTTTCCTTTCTCTGTCCTTTTCCTTTTTTCAGGATACTGGTGATTACACCCATGGTCTTCTCACCTAGCTTTAGCCCAAGCCATTCAATATTTTTTTTAAAAAAATACCATGAAACAGAACCCTGCTAAATCACTAAACTGCTCAGGCTGGACTTGCCCTTGTGATCTTCCTGCCCCAGCCTTCTAGAGAGCTGGAAGTGCAGGCACAATTACTCCTTGTTACCTCACCCATAAAATCTGCCGTTGGAGAACATTTTGTGATTCATGTTCATTCCATGAGTGCCTGCTGTATGCCAGGCAGTGTGTCAGGCCCTGGATTAGAAAATGCAACAGTCTGAAAGAGGGAACACCGTATGTGAGCAAGCACGTGCACGCCACAGCTGTACATGCTAGGGCAATACCTGGCTGTGCTTTTTCATATCCCAAATGAATGGTAGCAATTTTCAAATTGCTTGGGAAGGTTTTTCAAAACGATTTTCTTTATTTAGAAGCTAATGATTTTTAAATTACTATGTTTATTTCAAAGCAAGTACCAGTGTATTCTGTGTATGCCTTTTTAGGGTAAGATGTGGCTTCAAAGATATTTCCTCTATGAGTTAGTTTGCCCAGGGCCGTATACTTTCTGCATTTAGGGGTTTTCCATCTGTATGTCTGGATGAGGCCAGGGCACGGAGGTCTGAGAAGACCTGAACAGAGAGGTCTGCTTCCTTTAATTCAGGAGTCAGGTTGGAAGGTGGACACTAGCAAGGCTGTGTAGAAAAAGTTGACCATAGCAAAATCTGAAAGGGAGGTTTGGATGGTAAATATTTAAAACAAATCAATTTGGGTGTACACTTGAGTATCTGTCTAATTACTTCTGTTTTTCCAAGACACAAAGAAAACAAAAACTTCCATAGTTATGATGTTAAGAGAATTTATTTTTGTGTTAATGGAAAAACTCATAAACTCTAGATACAAAGTGTGGTAATACTTATCAGATCCTGGGTCTCCCCAGTTCAGAAAGATAGAGCAGCGCTATACCGATATGTGCTTGTAGGTTCTGGAAAAGTCTGTCCACTTAGCCATGTGCAGAGGTTAAAATTTATTCATGCTTTGCTCTGTGCCAGGACACATTTAATCTCTCTTTGACGCCTTCTCCATCAAGAGGTGAGACTAAATTTATCCCACTCTGATACAGTTACTCAGCAACAATTCTTTAAATTGTCTTTTTAGGGGCTGGTGAGATGGCTCAGTGGTCTAAAGCATCTACTTAGAACAAACTAAGCTAAGCGAAGCACAGGGACCACGGTTCAATCCCCCAGCACCACATGCCAGCCAGCCTCTGCCCCCTGGTGGGCTGAGCTGGCCACACACAAATAAATAAATAAATAAATAAATAAATAAATAAATATTTTTTTAAAAAATAAATAAATAAATAAATTGTCTTTTTAGATTCTCTTGGGTTTCTGTCTCTTTCTCCTGGCCTCACTCCAAAATCCCTGACTGCAGAGACAGAAGACATGGCAGCCAGAGACACTGGGACACTGAAAGCCCTATTTTCTGAGTTTGTGTTGATACTGGTGGAGGGATCCATTGGTGTGGTCCTAACCATGCGTGTTTTGCTACTGTGGTATAAACTTGGCAAATGGGTTCTCTTTTCACAGTAGGCTGTCTGATGAGGCATCTGCCCTTGGGCCCACCTTAACTCTTGATGGCGCTGCAATTATCCTATGCTATTTAACTGCATGCTTTTTTCTGCTGAGTGAGGAACACAAGTTTGGTATCTAAATGGCATGGAATGATATTGCGGAGGTTGAGTGCCTTGTAAGAGCCAACCTGCCCTCTCTCCATTTGGCCTCTTCTTTAAGTATGCGATGGCTAATTAGTGTACATCTGGATTCTTGTAAAGGAACTATCTGAACCACAAACCCCACAAAGGGAGTCTCCAAAGGTACAAATAAGTTACATGTTCTTCTAAGTTAAATAAGTACTAGCCATGTTTTGTGTGCAAGGAATAGGCAGGGTACACAGGGTGGCTTAGAAAGTCAGTAGATAGTTGTCTCTAGACTTGATGATATCACCACTATTGAAGTCGCCAATTCCTGAGTCTGCTGGGCAGTGTATCTTTATAGGACCAAGATAGACCATACTCAATTGTTGCTTACGGTGACCACCCTGCTGATACTGCCTCACCAGCATCAGAAGGAGCAGACTTATGCTTGCATCCTGTTAAGTTTAGGCCAGGGCAACTGTAGGTATAATCAGCGCTTGTTCCAATCTGATCATTTATGTGAAAGCCACTGAACTATTTCCTGGTGGAAAGATTATCTGGTCATTCATCTGTCCTGGCTACCCATATGCCTTAGCCCATGCCCAAACCTTCCTGCTCCCCCTTCTTCTCCATCTTCCTTGTATGCACTGAATCCTTGTTGTTTTGAAGACATACTTTCGGGATGACTGATCAAAGACCAAAAGTGTTTTACAAATGGCTCAGGTTCTGGAATGGATATGCTGTACTCTTAACCTAATGACAGTAATGACAGTGAAGCTAAGAGCAACACAACCTGTAAGTGAAAATAACCTTAGAATTCTGGAGTTGAATGGATCCCTGGGAGGCACCTGGCCAAATTTCGTATTTTAATACATCGGGAAGGAATTCAGGAGCCCTGTAACAGTGAAAGCTACATATTCACATTTTCCATTGAGGGCATATGTACCACCACACTACTTCTGATCTGTTGCAGCATTTTGTTTTGTCTTTTGTAATAGTACTTTTTTCTTTACAGACATCACCTGTTCCACGAAGATTGCTTGGTACATTTTAATTTTATTAGTCTTTATTTTCTGGGTCATTCTCATGATCCACAAAATACTTAAAGACCACAGGAGAATGCAAAAGTGGCCAAGTAAGTATTGAGGAATAAATCTCTTCCTTACTATCAAAGAACTGCTACTTTCATCTCTAGACTTAATTTATTTAGTCCAACTTACTATTTATTGTGTCCTGACTATATAAAAGTAGTGAATCTAGATAATCCAAGGAATAAAAGCATAAAGATGACACAGCACCAATATTCATGCGTCTTTCTCTTCTGTGGACAGGTAGTAGAGGTAGAAGAAAGACTGGGTGAGGCCTAGGGACGTAGCTCAGTAGTTGAGCTCTTGCCTAGAATGTGAAAGGCTCTGGATTCAACCCCTGGACCTGGAAAAAGATTGCTAGAAGACAGGGTGACCAGGGTTAAGGTTGGCAGTCTGCTGAGCAGCCTTAGTGGAAGAGAGGCACAGAGAGACAGAACAAAATGAGGGGGTGACACCTCAGTGATAAGGCCCTTCATGCATGAGTTAATAAAATCATCAACACTGTATATTTGTACAGTAACCATATTCAAAGCCTTTCCCCTAGATTCCTGAAGAATATAAAGAGAATGTGTATTATTATTTTCAAGTTTTAGTTTGAAACCGCCCTGAAATTCAAAGAGGTCAAACATTCTGCCCAAAGTTACATAGTTTGGTGAAATGTCAAGCTAAGACTTGGTATCTTTCTAGTGTTGAAAATTTTATTAAATATACATATATATATATATATATATTTATTTATTTATTTTGCAGAAAACCCTCTCTTTTTCTCAGTACTGGGGATAGAACTCAGGATCTTACACTTGCCAGGCCAGTGCTTATGCCACTGAGCTATCTCCCAGGCCTACTTGACTCATTTTTCATACAACTATGTTTAGGAAAGACATATACGGGAGATAGAAAAGATCATGACCAATAGTGAAAAGTTGAGTTAGGCTCTTATGAACATCTAACCACATGACAGACTTAGTGGCTCTTAAAAACTTTTCTTGCAAGTCCAAGATATAAAGTAACAGCAAATGCCACAGCACTTATAACATTAAATGTAATTAAATATTAAAGGTAAGTTATATATTTTGTACCTCAAATAAATAAGATTTGTATGTACTAATGTAATAAGATTTGTATTTGTATGCTTTTCATTACGGGATATGAGATAATGGCATTTATAGTAGCAGAGAAGCTACTGACTTCAGAAAGAATTTAGATTTTCTTATAGACTAGGGAAAAGTTCATGGTGTCGTTACCCAGGCTCTGTTATAAATAGTCCATTCTTCTTGGTAATCCTTTGAACCAACATAGGAAATACACGTTAAGATGGTGCTTGTTTATCAGTTAAATATTTAATTTCTTTTCTTGGAACAGATCATAAATGCACAAATATGTCTGCTCTCCTAAGAGGAAGTGATTCCGAGAAGCTGAGAACACTGAATGTGCGGGTTATTCCAGGTGAGTCCTGTGGTGCGCAAACAAAACCCCGCTCAGGAAATTCCAAAGCTGCACCGGTTCACTACAAAGTAAATTTGAGATCTAAGCTCTGTGCTCAACTGAATGAGCCTCGTCTCTGGAATAAGGCAGCCACGGGCAAGTGAAACCAGCTTAATATGTCTTATCAGGGGACAGTTACGATCCAAACTAACCTCCTTGAATAATGGAAAGTTTTCTTAATTGGCATGAAGAAACTGCTGTGAGTAGGCAGAGGAGAGAGTGCAATAAGAAACAAGCTTCAGATTTATTTTTAAATGAGACAAGATACCATTATTGCTCAGAATTGCAAGAAGTAATTGCAGAGTGGGCATGGCTTTTGCTGGCATCTTCACTTCACAGAGGGTGTCACTGTGCAATGAGAACTTCTAATCGCCCCAATTAAAAAGCCCCCTGTCCTCTCCCGAGAAGCAGCAACGGAATAAAGGGACCCTAATTAGAGCAGCTAAAGGGGCTGTTAGTGCAGATGCTGTGGTTTCATCTCCTTCTAGTCGTGCTGCCTCCCTTTGAATCCATGTTGTCAAATCACATCAGAGAGAAGGACAGGGCAAGTGTGATGTGGAAAAGTCTCTTCCTTCGCCAAACAGAAATGATGTCCTTGACTGTCGGAAAGCCACACAGTTCTGAGCGATATTGCTCTGCCCTTTGCCACTGCCTGTGAACAGGCCCCTTTGTACTTAGCGAGAATTTAAAAAAGGAAGCTTCGAGTCTGATGTGTAAACACTTGCCAGAAATGAGAGGAAACCAGACAACTCTCTGTCCCCTACTGTAGCCGCCTGTGCAGCCACCTAGAGATAGGCCCAGGATTTCCCTGGGGGCCAGGTCTCTGGGGCTTTGTTCACTACTGAAACAAATGGAAACTCAGACCTCTTGCTAGGGAAAAATTAGCCTGGGTGCAACTAAAGAGCTCAATTTAGGGCTGGTGAGATGGCTCAGTGGTCTAAAGCACCTACTTAGAACAAGCTTAGCAAAGCACAGGGACCGCGGTTCAATCCCCCAGCACCACATGCCAGCCAGCCCTGCCCCCTGGTGGACTGAGCTGGCCACACACACACACACACACACACACACACACAAATAAATAAATAAAATTTTAAAAAAAGAGCTCAATTAAAAAAAAACTACAATGTATGATCTGTTATTAATCTCATGTTATGTATTCATTTCAGAAATATTTTTCTAAAATTCACTCTATTGTTTATATCTTTCACATTTCAGTATTTGTCTACAATTTTTAATTTTCCATATAACTATTATTGATTTTCAATAAAGTTAATAATGAGTTTTAAAAAAACCCCAAAACTTAGACTTTCTACTCAGTTTTACCAAATTATCAACCTATGACTAATAATAAGCACTTGCAATATAGTCACTTGACTCCAATTACAGGTGGAGTAACTTAATGGAAATTCTGTATGTTTCATGAAAATTATGTTCAGTTAATAAAATAAAAGCCACAAAGATAATTTAAATGGAAACATTCATTTTTAAAAGGAAGCAGTGGTGTTTCCCCTGTTTTTCTCTCTTACCTAAAACACATGCCCACCCACCAGGAATGGCTTAACCCAGTTCTGCTGGGCCTTTTTGGTTGCCTTAAGAATCCTGGTTATTTCTATTTTCAAGTCATAATTTTGAGAACTGCAGTCCTGTTTGAGAAAGTCAGTAGTTCCCCTGTCAACCCACATAATCAGGGGACAAATTTTAAGTCCTACCTACCCACAAGACTAACCTCACAGAGTGTATTTATGAGCCTGTGATTTCCATTCACCCGAGAACCCTGTCTCAGCCATCCTTTCCATTTAATAGCTCTCACTAAAAATCCTCTGGCTTTATTACCAGGTATATAACATTAATGCTCAGTGCAAGCCAAGGGGTGATGGCCTTTTTTAAAACCAAGGATCCTTTTGAGGCTTAGCATCTTAACAAGGGAGAGAAGCGGATTCTTTTCTTATTTATATTCCTTTAACCTAAATCCAAGTTTCACCCCCCTCTCCCCATCCTAAGTTGCTCTGAGAGAGAAATGGAGAGGAAATAATGTCTCCCCTGAGTGCTGTTTCTGCGGCTGCTCTTTGTAATGATGGATTATAGGTAGCAGCGAGAACGGAGGGGAGAATGTGCCAGTATGGTTGTCTGGAAATGCAGTAACATGAGGGAAAAATGGCTTTCAAAGAAGCAGAGACTGTGTGTTACATTCACAGAGCCGGTTGTCAATTCTAGCTGACACTTGTTCCACAATGACTCCAGTCGTTCACGCGTTACCAAGTCAGGATTGTCACACACATATGCACAGAGGTATAGATAGGCTCACTCTCTCCAAAAGAAGTTTATTTAGCCCACAAAAGAGAGAGAAAGGGGGCTGGTGAGATGGCTCAGTGGTCTAAAGCACCTACCTAGAACAAGCTAAGCAAAGCACAGGGACCGCGGTTCAATTTCCCAGCACCACATGCCAGCCAGCCCCTCCCCCTGGTGGGCTGAGCTGGTCACACACACACACACACACACACACACACACACACACACACACACATTAAAAAAAATTAAAAAGAGAAAGGGGAGATCACCAAGATGCTGACTTGCACGGTGCCTGGTACATGCTAGAGGCCCAGGGGACATTGGTGGAATAAAGGAATCTCACCTCTGTTGAAAGAGATGTCAGACAGAATCAAATCCTAGCCTTTTTTTTTTTTTTTTTGCAGAACTGGGGCTGGAACTCAGGCCCTTGCACTTGCCAGGGAAGCACTTATTCTACTGAGCCATCTCCCTGGCCCCCAATCCCAGCCTTTTATATATCTCTAATATTTTCTCCTTGCCTAAGAACGTGATGACTTGGTGGCCTGTCTTGGCATTAACCTACTTAACATTGTATTCATTCAGTCATTCCTGTCATATGGGTGATGTCCCGCTCTCATATATCTTTTAGCTGTGTCTGTAAAATAACATGTGGCATGTAGTTCATATGTGATAAAAGCTCATGAAACCACACAAACCCTAAGGGGAACTGTAGATAGAGGGGAAGAAGAGCAGCTGAGAGAGAAGTGAATTGTAGGCACTACAAAAGGGGAAAACAAACAAAGTCAAAGGGTACTTAGAGGGAACATAACTCTGCTTTGAAATTATAGCATATTTTATAGAATTGCCAAGCATATCAATAATGAAGAACATTGATCACCTTAGAGAAGAGATTGTGAGAACTATATGAAAGTAACCTTAAAATGTGTCTCTAGAAACAGTGGTTGGTGGGTTGATCACTTTGAGAAGCCAAGACCAGGGGCTGGAGGAGTGGACCAGTGTCTCGTTCTAAATCACTGGGCACAAACAGTGACTGCAGAAGTGAAGTTTATTGGTGAGCTGGTAGGTAGCCCTCAGAGTGCAACAGACAGCTTAGGGATTCTGAGCTTGGAAAATAAATGGGAGTTAGCGGAGCCAGGAAGCCAAAGCCATAGCCCATGCCGGTGAGTGGTGTGGGTTGTGAGAGCAGCCTTGCTGTGCACCCCATTGTGCACTTCTCTAGAGCAGCCAGGGCCACCTTTGACCAACCTGCAGCTTTGCATCCCTCTCCAGGGTAGCAAGCTCAGGGCAGGAGCTGGTTGGCTGACCGGCTATAGGCTGCAGGTGGTGACTCTGGAACTATCTGCTCCTCAGCTTCCTGTGTACTTGAGATGACCCTTGAGATGCTCACTGGTGGACGGCCACACAGGAACCAGGGATAGAACTCCCATTCGCTGCTGCTTCACGAGTCCAAGAAGGGCTCATTTGTATCTTTCAAAATGGTGATGTCCTTACAACTTGGAATTCTTTTTTTTTTTTTTTTTATTGCACATCACTCCTTTATTACACTGATCTGGAAAAAGACTTAGTTATGCTCAAATGAGTGCTGCCCCATGCGGTGGGGCCACGCCCGCTGGAACATGATTCAGAAATCAGACACTGTGAGACGCACTTAGACGTGGTCAGGAGGCGTTTTCACTGCCACCAAAACAAGGCAGAGGGAGCCTAAGCTACACAGCAGGACGCACTCCTACCCTACAGGGGCCAGAGCTCGTCCTGTACTGGTGTGAGGAATGGCTTGTGTTCTG